GCTTTGAAACACGGTACGAGGATAGAGCTCATGTCCAGTGTTCTTACCACAAAAACAGAGAAGAATGAAAAGAAAGAATAAAAGGAAGGAAGGAAGGAAGGGAGGGAAGAAAAAAGCCACAAAAAAACCACGAGGAAATTTCCGGCGCTGCTGGACATGCTGAGCACCCTGACGGTGGTGACGTTATCGTGATGCACGCATATGTCCACGCTCATCGAAGTGTACGCACTGAGTATGTGCAGTGTTCTGTACATCAGCATGCCTAACAAAGCTAGGAGATGGGGAGAAGACGTCCAGCCGATTCTTGTTACCTACCATAGGTAGGTTTTATCGTCGCGGCAAACACCAAGTTTGCAAACACTGAGCCGCTGCTGCAGGGAAGACGGGGTCCTGCCAGCCTCCGGACACAGCCCGGTTGTCACCCCGTGGATACAGAACCGTGTCTTAGGTGTGTTTCTGCGTAAAGACACCTTACCGGATGCTGTTCTCCATTACCCCCAAACTGCCAGCCACCGGCACCGTGCCCCACGTCTGAGAAGCTGCTCGGACACACGACCGCCCCCTGCACTCAAACACCAGCACTCGAGGGTCACTTTAAATTGCAAGATCGCCATCAAAAAGCAGAAAAATGCAAACAACAAGGCACGAAATACACTAGAAGAAGAGTGCTAATTTCCAGCGAAAAAGGGCTGGAACAGAGGGCAGAGCATCATCTCGTTTGACCTTGGCTAGAAACGTGCGCACCCGTGACTCCAGTCCTCAACCCCCCAACCCCCGCCCACACACGGGTGCAAATGCCCGCGAACGCTCCCTGCACACTGGTTTTGGGGTTACAAACAAATTTTGCTAAGAGGCAAATTTGCAAGTGCAAAGCCGCGGATAATGAGGAATGACTGTTAGCAGTGTTTGATCAGTGTCTGTGCCTGAAGCCGGAAGGCCCTCCCAGGGGCGTGAGCCGATAGAGTTCCTTTTCCACTCAAGCCAACTGGGGTTGGTTTTCCGTCACTTGAACCCAAGCTGGCTGCTCAGCCACTTTTCTGTAAGCGTAGAGGTCTCTGGGGGTGCCTGGGTGGCCCCTTTGGGGGAGCGTCTGCCTTCGGCTCAGGTCATGGTCTCAGGGATCCTGGATCGAGCCCCACGTCGGGCTCCCTGCTCGGTGGGCAGCCTGCTTCTCCCTCTCCACCTCTCATCTCTGGGAGGAAGGCACCACCACCTGGTGACCCGCCCCTAGGACCCTCTAGAATCCCATGTCCTCAACGTTCCGATCACGCCTACGAACGGAGAGTCCCGTTGTCCCCAGGTGCTGGGGGACAGAGCCTCCAGGTTTACGAGCAGAGTTACTCAGCTTCAGATGCGGGTCCCTTTCAGCTCCTGCCAAGATAAGCCCTTGAGAGACGTGGGGCTCTCACGAGCCATGACGAGAGCACCTCAGCCATGCCCACCTCGGCCCACCGCCCATCCAAGTCCTGGGGAAGGAACATGCTCGTTCCTGAGCGTCCGGGGCCGATGCCGCCCGTCTCTCCATGGGCCCTGCCAGCCAGCGAGCAGGCCCACGGCGGGGGGTGCCACGGGGCCCGTGGCCCGGGGCGTAGCTCTTCATCCTCCAGCTTCTCCTCTAGCTCCCCCCATTTCTTGAATCAGTGCATTCAATTCTACACGGGGGCCATGGGTAAGAGTGGAGAATGGGAGCTGGGAATTTCCTGGGCGGGGAGGAGGGGAAGGAGGGTCAGGAAGGGAGACTCAGAACAGGGCCTCGGGCTGCCTGCCCGGCTTCTTCTCTATCAGCACCATTGCTGTGGGTGAAGGCTCCACCCTCCCCGCCTGCATGAACCCCGGCAGACGGAGCCCGGCCCCCGCCGCCGCAGGATGCCCCCCACGACACGTCATCCCCGCCTCTGCAGCGGGGACAGGTAACTCCACCGGTACCTCAGCCACAGACCTGCGACTCTGCGCAAGCACCCCTCCCCGGGGGCCCCGCCAGCGCGGGAGTGTGTGGGCCCACCGCCATCACGGGGCGACTTGTCCCCTCCTGCCGAGCCCACTCAACGCCCCGCAAGCCAGTGCAGGCCACCTGCAGGTCCCACGGATGAGGCCCGGCCCCCTGCCCCACACTCTCCCACCCTGACCCCCACTGGGGGGGCCACGGCCCTGCCTGCCAGGCCTGCAATGAAGAGACAGAAGGTTGAGACTCCAGTCCAATGACCAGAGGCATCATGTCATCCCCGAGGTTTGTTATTCTGAGTTTTAGTACAGCTACGTGTTGGCTGGTTGGAGAGCCCAGCCCCTGCCCCCGTCCTGAGTGCCCGCGAAACCCGAAGCCCGTCCAAGCCGCAGCTCCCCGCTGCACTGAGCTCTTCCAAGCTCCCCACTGGGTCTACGAGCTTTTAGGTTGTATGTGCTGGGAGTCACCTCACACCTCTGCAGCCCTGGGAGAACCAGTCCTCTCTTCCTCCCTGAGCACAGGAACCCCTCCCCAGCCTGCCCTGCTCCTCGTAAGAGGAGCTCAAGCGGAAGGAAGCTCAGAGGCCTCGCTGGTCACCGTCCAGCAGGTCTTCTGTCTTCTTGGGGGAATGCCTCCACTACCCGAGCTCTGGCGGCTGGGGCCACCGTCCAGGGCCCACCCCGAGGACACTCTGGCCAAATGGGGTTCACACTGTCCCTTTAAACTCTGCCATTAAAGCTTCCCATGGGCAGAAGGGTCCACTCCGCTCCAGTGAGTCAGTTAGCTAAACCCATGGCCAGAGCCTGACCTCCCCGTGACCATCACTCCCGCCGCCATCTGCCCCAGCCCGGGCTCCGGACTGGGTTTCACAAAGCCACTTCCTGTGGTCAGACACAGAAGTCTAGGGAAAGACGGCTCTTTACGGAAAAGGCGATTTTAGCTGTCAACAGCTAAATTTATTTATTTTCCTTTTCACATCCCTCTGGAATGCTTAACTTTGTAAGGTGTCTTCCTTAGAAATTTCTATATGGAGCTCTCTAATTCGGCTCAAGGCTGGGACAGCAGAGCGCGTCTGAGTCTGTTTTAGCGTCGTCGTTCGACCTACGCATGGAGCTCCGTGCTGGGCCCGGTGTCACGGTTACAAAGACACGAGGGGAGCACAGCACAGACCCCGTCCTCACACCCGAACCCCCCGCCCTCCCCCTCCTCTTAATACGTCACTGACGCCAATGCCGAGAACGCTACCAGCATCTCCAGAAACAGCTGTACTCTGTCGCTTCTGGAAACTTTCAGCTCCGTCTCATCAGGAGTGTTATGGGCTGGACTGGGTCCCCTCAAAATCAGTATATTGAAGCCCTAACCCCCAGAACCTCAGAACGGGACTGCATTTGGAGATGGGGCCTTTAAGGAGATGATCCACGTTAAATAAAGCCATGAGAGTGGGGCCCTCATCTCCTGTGACTGGTGTCCTTACAGGAGGAGAGAGACATCAGGGGCGCCCGGCCACAAAGCAGACCCGTGAGGACGCAGCGAGCAGGTGATGCTGACAAGGCAAGGAGAGAGGCTCCGGAGAAACCAAACCCGCCAACATCTGGATCTTGGACTTCTAGAGTCCAAGACTGAGAGAAAATAAATTTCTGCTGTTCAGGCCACGTTCTGTGGTATGTCTTACGGCAGCCCAAGCAGACTCATACAATCAGCAAAGCACTGACTCATTCACCAGGCTTCAGCTGAACGCCTACTATGTGCAGAGCACTGAGGGAGGCTCTGTGGGCAGACACAGAAGTAAATGCAGACCCAGCTGCTCTCGATATGGCAGGGGCCTGACAGCACAAATATATCCACCATACAGAGGAATGCAAATATTACAGCACAGTCAGCCCTACTCCAACACTTGTTCGGAAAATGCAAATGTGTTGTAATGTGAGCAACTGATGGGGGAAACAACCTGAGCATAATGTGAATTTTGTGTCTGCTTATGCGTGATTTTGTCCGCAAGAAGCGCTACACACGGAAAAGTGCACCCAGCCGAACGGAACCACACACACACACACCTCGGACACCTGCCAGCCCCAGGTTGTCATGTGTTATGAGTCACCCCATCCGTATCTGCTGTTACAACTCTCTTTTGACGTCTAACTTCACAGGACTATCCTTGTACCACCACACAAAAACACACAAGGGGCAACCCTTCCAGGACTCACCTCCACGAGTAAATCTCACGCCAGCCTCAAGGTCCAGAGCCATAGTTATGCTTATATTTATGGATTTCTTAAGCATTTAATGTATAAAATTATGCTCCCATTTCTACTAGGTTCCTATTCTTGTTTTTCTCTGTCGGTGATTCATTCTTGACTGTGTGGTCCTAACCCATTTCTTCCCCATAAGCCCTGCAGTTTTTATTTCAAGAGTTTGTATACTGCAGTGATTGCCAGGAACATGCATGTTGCATTATAGCAAAACGGGCTTTATTTAAATGTTGCAATAAGGAACTCCATGGCAGCAAACTAAAGCCTAGGTAATAAACGACCATGATCAGGATCACACGTAATGCAACACTTAAGGCATAAACCTTATCACAGAATATGTGGTTCTGGCTAATGTACCAATATCGCCTCCTAGTGACAACATCCCCTAATTGCAGGTAAAACACGGGGAAAAAAAAAATGAATTAAAAAAATTCATGTATTAAAAATGAATTTTTCAGGGGCGCCTGGGTGGCTCAGATGGTTAAGCATCTGCCTTTGGCTCAGGTAATGATCTTAGGGCCCTGGGATCGAGCCCCGCATCGGGCTCCCTGCTTGGCGGGGTACCTGCTTCTCCCTCTCCTGTTCCCCCTATTTGTGCTCTCTCGCTCTCTCTGTCAAATAAATAAAATCTTTAAAAAAAAAAATGAATTTTTCAAAAGTTCCAGGGTAAATGAAGCCATTGCACAAGCCGAATCAAATATATGCCCTCACCTTTAGGCAACTTTTTCTGACCTCCAGTTTCCTGATCTGTTTACTGCAAGACATTTCTGTCCAGGGTCAAACAGTCTCATGGAGGGAGCCACACTGACCTGTCATCGAGTTTTCTGAGGTGCACAGCTGCTCCCTCAGCTTCTCCACGTCATCGGGATGCACCTGTTCATACAAGGTGCTCCCAAACCACTCTGACTGGGGCTGGTTCAGAACGGGGGTGACGGAGTCAGACACGTAAATCACTCGTCCTGTCTCTGCCGCGACTACAAACAGAAATCCATCGGCTGCTTCGAGGATGAGGTGCTTCAGTTCCTGGGAAGAAAAGATCGAGATGAGGACAGAGCACGGACAAACCCAGTCTAATTAAATTTTCATATCAGCAACCTTCAACTTTTATTCCCTCACTGTGACACAAAAATAGTTTTAGAAACTCTGATTTTTATAATTGAAAAATAAGCTTAAAATGCACAAAGCTTGTCCTAGCTCTAAGATTCAGCTACTGTAAACACTGTTGGCCCTGATTTAACCAGCCCTCTCTTAGGGAGAGAGGAAACTTCCAGCCCGGCGGGGATGGAAAGCAAGGAGTGATCACCAGAATGTGCCGGGCTGCCAGAGGTGTGAACAGCCTCACCTACATCTTCAAACTGCACAAGAAAGGCCCAGCACACAGTGCTCGGTACAAAACGTGGCAGGAAGGGAAGGGGAAGAGAGACTGGAGAGCGAGGACAGTCTCCCAGCCACTGCCCCACGATGGTAGTGCATGCCCGCCGCCTCTCGTCCTGCACTCCCAGCTGAATGCCGGCAGTGGATACAAGAGTCTCTCCTCACATCAGCACATCTGTCAAATGTCCAGAACTCCTGGACAGACGGAGCAATGCTGGGAGGCGGCCCGGCACAGCCCACTGTCCGTATCACTTTACAGTGAGAAGAGAGGTTAGTGGCCCCAGCCCTGGGGTCACACTGACTCACCAGGCTCATGACTGTCAGAAAAGGCAGGAAGAAAGCGGCTTGGAATCAATGAATGGGCAGCAGGAAGCCCTGCCATCATCCCCAGAGGGGTGTGAATGGAGCCAAGTCAGCTTTGTCAAAAGATGTCTTTTCTTTGCCTGAATGCAGCCCAAGTGTGGCTGCCTACGGCGTCCTTCTCACATCAAGCTCAACGCCATGGGCTCCGTTCCTCGGGCCTGAGGCGCTAATGCCCCCGCCCCCGCATGCCCCTGCGCCCTCAGGTGTGTCTCCAGACACCCCTTACGCGGACGACATTCCGAAGAACAAAGGTCAGCAGTCGGCAAACACTCCTTGCTGGGAATCCTTTGTTCAGATGTCACCTGGCACAGAAGCCTCAGGGGAACACCAATTATGCACCAGCTGCACACATGCAAAAGGTGGGACCCTGACGCCACTGGCCCGGCCCCAGGGCGCTGCAAGGACCCAAAGATCAGAAAACGGGGGCCTGCTGCTCGTGAGCAGAATCTGGGGGGCTCTGAGCCCTTGGCTGGGTCAGAATCCTTACATCCTCTGCCTGGGAACCTACGGGGGAAGGAGACTATACAGCATTGTCTAAGGAAAAGTTTATTTTGTCCATTTCCCTTGCTTTGCACTTCTGCTGATCCGTGTCTCCGGGCCGCTCCCTTAGCTCAGAGAATGGGTCAGCGGTTTTATTTTCAGTGTCGGAAGAGCTTCCAACAGGAAGGACTAAAACACGGAGCAGGATGTCTGGGAAAGCTGCAGGACGGCGGCAGAGGCTGAGGGCTGTGGGAAGGTTTACGGGACGGAGCCTCACCTTCATCACGGCCCC